TGGTTGGCAGTTTTACCACGCCACCTCGTGCCGTGTCCTGCCCTCTCAGGACGTCACTTTTGACGAGTCCGTGCCCTACTACCGCCTCTTCCCCTACCGCACTGCCCCGCTCCCCCCCCCGCCTCTCTTCCTCGCGCCAGGTGCTGCTGTGGTAGACCCCCTCCCCCCTCAGGGTGCCGCTCCCTCAGGTGTGTCCCAGGTAGACCCGGTTGAGCCTGTCGAGGTAGCTGTCGACTCTCGTCCTGCCAGGGGTGCTGAGCCTGAGCGTGCGGAGCCTGGGGTTGCGGAGTCTGGGGGTGCTGAGCCTGGGGGTGCGGGGTCTGGGGGTGCGGAGCCTGCGGGTGCTGAGTCTGGGGGTGCTGAGCCTGGGGGTGCGGAGCCTGCGGGTGCTGAGTCTGGAGGTGCTGAGCCTGGGGGTGCTGAGCCTGGGAGTGCTACATCTGAGAGTACTGAGCCTGAGCGTGCTGCACCTGGGGGAGGCCTCTCCTCGCAGCAGCTGCGTGAGTGGTACTTACAGTACTGCAGCCTCAGGAGAGGTGCTTCTGAAGCTCGGAGTGGTGCCGGAGCTGGTGCTAGTGCTTCCCCTCCTAGGCGGGAGCTGCCCTCTCCCCAGCAGCTCCGAGAGTTGTACGCTAGGCGCTGCAGTCTCCGGAGTGGCGCTCCCGGTGTCGTGGACTCTGGAGCTTCTGGAGTTACTGGAGGTGCTGCTGCTGCTGGCGGTGCGGCAGGCGCTGCTAGAGGTGCTGCTGGTGCTGCTGGAGCTGCTGGAGGTACTGCTGCTGCTGGAGGTGCTGCTGGCGCTGCTGGAGGTACTACTGGTTCTGGTGCTGCTGGAGCTGCTGGAGGTGCTGCTGCTGCTGGCGGTGCGGCTGGCGCTGCTGGAGGTGCTGCTGGTGCTGCTGGCGCTGCTGGAGTTGCTACTGGTGCTGGAGCTACTGGAGCTGCTGGTGGTACTGCTGCTGCTGGCGGTGTTGCTGGCGCTGCTGGAGGTGCTGCTGGTACTGGTGCTGCTGGAGCTGCTGGAGGTGCTGCTGCTACTGGTGGTGCTGCTGGCGCTGCTGGAGGTGCTGCTGGTACTGGAGCTGCTGGGGACCCTGCTGCTGCTGGCGGTGCTGCTGGAGCTGCTGGGACTGGCCCTGCTGAGGGGGTTGGAGCTGGAGGTGCTGAGCGGCCACGGCCGTACTACGTTCCGCTCCTTCAGCAGGTTCTTGGCCTTCCGCCCTCTCCTGGTCCTACTCCTCCCCTACTGAGTCCACCGCTTGTCCAGTCGCAGTCACAGTTACAGCCAGTCTCTCCACTTCCTGGTCCTTCTCCCTACACTGCGCCGACGGGAGGTCTTACGGAGCGTCGTGAGCCTGAGTCTCGTCCTCCGTCGCCTGAGACTCGTCCAGAGTCGTCTGAGTCGCGTCCAGAGTCACCTGTCCGCGCTGTCCGCGCTGGTCGTCGTGTTCCACGTCAGCGTCCTCCTCCTGTCCTTGGCACTCACTATATGACCCTGCGTCCCTCTACTGCTCCACAGCGTGTCCCACTGCCGTCTCCACCAGCGTCCTCTCTTCCTGCTCTTGCTGACCCGGAGTCTGACTCTCTTCGTGCTGCCAGTCCTACTGTCATGCATCTCCTTGCCACTGCTGTCACTGACCCTTCCTTTGAGTCCTCTTCTGCGTCTGCTCTAGTCGCTGAGCTTGTTGACTTTGCTGCTGCCTGTCGTCTAGACTACGCCGCTAGCCTTGTTGCTGAGTCTGAGTCTGAGTCTGTCTGTCCTCCGTCTGTCGGGGGTGAGTGTGCTCTTGGCACGGACGTCCTTGAGGACAGACAGGAGGAGTTTGAGTGCTTTGCCGCTGCTTTGCCTCATCTCGTGTCCATGCTAGTTGCCCCTGAGGGAGACCCGGATGCACCAGACATCCCGACCCCACGCTCCTACGCAGAGGCGATGGAGGGTCCCTACTCCTCTCAGTGGCAGACAGCCATGGACGCAGAGATGGCTTCCTGGAAGTCCACAGGCACCTACGTCGACGAGGTTCCCCCACCTGGGGCGAACATCGTCAGTGGCATGTGGATTTTCAGGGTGAAGCGGCCGCCGGGTTCTCCGCCTGTCTTCAAGGCGCGTTACGTTGCACGATGCTTCAGTCAGCGAGAGGGAGTTGACTTCTTCCAGACCTTCTCCCCGACCCCGAAGATGACCACTCTTCGGGTTCTGCTGCACGTCGCTGCTCAGCGTGACTACGAGCTCCACTCTCTTGACTTCAGCACTGCGTTCTTACAGGGCAGCCTGCACGAGGAGATCTGGCTGCGCCGCCCACCTGGCTTCACTGGGTCGTTCCCTCCTGGTACCCAGTGGAGCCTCCGGCGGCCAGTCTACGGTCTCCGCCAGGCACCCCGTGAGTGGCACGACACACTGAGGACTACTCTTGCTGCTCTTGGGTTTGCTCCTTCTACTGCTGACCCGTCGCTGTTTCTACGCACCGACACCACTCTGCCGCCGTTCTACGTTCTTGTTTACGTAGACGACTTGGTCTTTGCTACTGCTGACACTGAGGCACTCGCCCACGTGAAGTCGGAGCTGCAGAAGAGACATACGTGCACAGACCTGGGTGAGCTGACAAGCTATCTTGGCTTGCGGATCACCCGGGACAGAGCACAGCGCACCATCACCTTGACTCAGTCACACATGGTGCAGCAGGTCCTTCAGCGCTTCCGCTTCACGTACTCCTCGCCTCAGCCCACTCCTCTGCCTACCGGTCACTCGCTCTTAGCTCTGCCTTCGGATGAGTCCGTAGAGCCGAGTGGCCCGTATCCAGAGCTTGTGGGCTGCCTCATGTACCTGATGACCTGCACACGACCTGACCTGGCATACCCTCTTAGCATCCTAGCACGCTATGTCGCTCCCGGCCGTCACCGGAAGGAGCACATGGATGCCGCTAAGAGGGTGTTGCGCTACTTGTGCAGTACGTCGGGCATGGGGCTCATGCTTGGAGGTCGGAGCGACGTTGTCCTCACGAGTCACTCAGACGCTTCTTGGGCTGACGACCAGGCTACGCAGCGGTCGTCTCAGGGTTACACCTTCAGCCTTGGCTCTGGTTCAGTTTCTTGGCGTTCTACTCGCTCTTCTTCTGTTCTCAGCTCCAGTTGTGAGGCTGAGATCTACGCCACAGCCATGGCTGCACAGGAGTTACGCTGGCTCACCTACCTGCTGACCGACCTGGGAGAGCGGCCTCGTTCTCCTCCAGTGCTGTACGTTGACAACAAGGCCGCCATTGCCTTGTGTGAGGAGCACAGACTGGAGCACAGGACGAAGCACATCGCTCTGCGCTACTTCCTTGCTCGAGAGCTGCAGCAGCGTGGTCAGCTTCGTCTGCGTTACGTGGCCACTCGGGCCAACACTGCTGATGTGTTCACCAAGGCGCTTCAGCCTTGTGACCATCAGCGTTTCTGTACTGTTCTAGGCCTTGTGCCTACTCTCCCTCACTTGCTCACTTCTTGACTCTGCTTGTACTGTGATCTCTATATATATATACCTGCATGTTTACTCTTGTTAGGTTGTGATCACTGTACCTCTTGTTATATTATCAAACTGCATGTGAACTGGTCTTGTGACCACTTACTTGTGCTCGGAATTTGTGTGGTATCCTTGAGATCCACCCTGAGCTTGCTTTGCTTTGCTTTGACTGGTCTTGTGACCATCTGGTTGTCTCCCACTTAGCCTATGGGGGTGTGTCAAACATTATACATGTTCATATTGTGTAGGCTATAGTGGGTTTAGCCTTAGGGGGTACAACATTGCTAGGGTTTCCTACTTGTATCACCCTGCTGCCTAGTTTCACACATTCTCGTTCAGTTCTACATTCTAACACGCTGGTCCCCGGGGGCGCCGCGACGGGCGACGGGGGGCCGCGCGCGGATCCCCGGGGGCGCCGCGACGGAGCGTGAAACCGCCGCGCGCGCCCGAGGCGCGCGGCGGGCAGGAAAGCGCCACGCGCCCCGAGCGCGTGGCGGGCAGATAACCGCCACGCGCCCCGAGCGCGTGGCGGCAAGAAAAAAAAAAACGTCGCGCGCCACGGGGCGCGCCACAGACAGTACAGCAGCGGAAGTAGGTGGGCCCACAGGCCAGGAGCGTAGACGCTCTGATAGCATGTTAAAGAGCTAAAGCAAGTTAGGCTTAGGAGCCATGGCTAGAGTAGCTTAGGAGCTTAGGTTTTACGGTTGAAGGAGAATGTCGAGAGGGTTGCCAAAGGAGAAAGGTGATCCACTAATGAGCAAGATACAAGATATAGTGTAAGGGACAAGGGAATGAGGTGCACCACCAATGTAACAATACATTAACTACTGCTACAAGCAGTTTATATAAGAATTATATTTCAACAAACATACATCAAACGAAAGGGATGAACGGAGAATATAGCTAGGCTAGCGTGGTAACGGTAACGCGAGAAATTGGGGTGCGCTACGGGCCTAGCGCCGAGGTTGGGAAATGTTGAGGCGGAGGCCCGGAGCGCGGGTTACCAACCGAACCGTGAGGTTGGGTCGCGATGTGAATTGTGGCGGAAACAGTGGTCGAGGCGAGTGTCGCGAGTGGTAACGGTGCATTGTTGGGTACTGTTGGCGCGAACAGTCAGGTACGCGATAAGCAGGGGCACGAAGTAAGAAAAAAGGGATTTTTCTTACACTAACTGACCCTGCGGTTCGTTCGTGCAAATGTCACACGCTTGACCCCGAGTTCAACACCATTTAATTTCGTGGTACAGTCCTAATAATGAGAGTTACACTACCGTCCATTTTAAGTAGTAGGGTTACCCGCTTCGTGGTCCACGCCTTCAGTTCCTTCAGGCGTGCACGGTTGGTGTCCCTGAGCCAAAGACGTGAGGAAGACTGACTTGTACAGTGAATCGTCCGTCAAGGCGAGAACGACTTCTGTACAGTGCGGCAGCATTGAGCTGCAGCTTGCAGGAAGCGGCTGCCGAAACTTTCGAGGATTCTTCCGAGCAGTGAAATCCCGCGCACGAATGGACACACGTGGGTCAACCCTATCCATTAGAACGGCGGGGGCGCGCGGCTCCTCCCCGCCTCTCGGCTCCGCCACTCTCGACAGCCCGTCGGCGTCGGCGCGCTTCCTAGTCACAAGCGTCGCCGCCACTTGCCGAGCGCTCCCCTCAGCGGATAAGAATGGCCCGCCGCAGTCAGACGATCAAACAAAGCAGGAGAATGTTTGCGCTCCCAATCGCTTTCCGAGGCACTGTCGCGGCTCTCGCCTCCCGCGTCCGCAGCTATATTCAGGGCCTTGGTAGTCTCACGGTAGTTACGGCGTGCTCTCCGTTTCGGCCTCTCCGTGGCCATTACTAACTCCGTGAGATCTCCGGCGTGAAGTCTCTCCCTTCGTGCTGAATCACTCGAAATTTCTCCCTCCGTGCTCCGTTCACCTCCTCGCGGACCTAGTCCGGACCTACTCCCAGACTCCTACTCCCAGACCTTCTCCCAGACCTACTTGCGAACCTACTTCCGGACCTACCTGGCGTGGCTTCCAAAAGCCTATCCAATGGCGCTTGTCAAGCGGAGCCCCAGCTGCCTCCCCTTGTTACTGCTGCTGCTCCTCACGGGTAAGCAGCATGCGGCCTTCAGTGGCAAACTTAGCAGAGCTTTCCATTCCATGCCAAGGATCCGTCATCCCATCCCAAAGCCCTCTAAGGCTGAAGGGACGGAGGAGTACCAGCTTAGTATCTGAGTCAGAAATCGTCATTCAATCGTATTTTTGAAAAAAATTCGCCCTTCTCTACTACAATGGAGCGGCGCACGGCACGTCTCGTCTCAATCTTGCTCTGTAAGCACCGGTACTACGTTCAGGCTTGTTCTGTGTTGTGTCAGATGGTCCCGCGCCCCTCATGATGATGACCCTTCGCTGCCGCCATGCCTGTCAGGTGCGGCGTTTCTCACTGCCGCCGCGTCTGCATCAATCTTCCCGCTCGCCTGCAGCGGTGGCGGCGGTGGCGGTGGCTCTGTAGATCCTTTTGCCGCGCAGGCCAAACCCTTGTTGTGGAAAGGGAAAGCACTGAGTAAGGCTTTGCCGCTCTATTTCCTGCCCTCGCTGCGCCGCGGTGTTGCCAGTCGCAAGGTAGAAGCAGCAGGTGCACTGCAATGTGCCCACCCCACCTCCTCCAATGTTCAGCGAATGGGTTTTCATGTTGTCTTCACTGTGTGTTGGTTTGCTGCGTTGCACGTGGTTCTGCATGTCGCCCCATCTGCTGGGTCGTGCAACTTACACGACTAACTACTCGCAGGCAGCCATGTCGCTCTTTCATTACTGGAAAGTTATCAGGGCATCTAATGTCGTTTCAGTGTTGCTACTAGCACTCGACCCCACTTGTCCTTCCACGTCCCTCCCCCGATCTGTTCCTTTCCCACTACCAGTGAAGTACGTGGTCAAGTTTCGTCCCACTAAGGTCAAGGGCAAAGTGGTCGGCGACAAAGGGGCATCTGCGAAACTTGTGATCACGGGGGTGATGTGAGTCCCTGATAACTTCCATATAACTTCACTCTCAGTAGTGTAAAGGTTAGGTTGAGGCGTTTTGGCTCAATCACGGTCTTCCTTTTTGAACGACGAAAGGAAGGAGGGGTATGACGGGAGAGGGTGGGTTGCTTGAGTCGGAGTCTAGAGGGCGAAGGAAAACCTGCTGCTTCCATGATTGTTCATATTGGGAAAGTTCTTACTCCTCCAGCCCTCTCTCCTCCCATCCTTCCACCTTCCCCGTGCACCGTTCTCCCCACCTTTCTTTTTCCAGCATCCTCCCCCTGTGTCAGCCTGCACGACCTTCCGTTTCCCCTTCCCTCCCTCGCACCACCTTCCCCTTCTCCCCTTCCGTCCTCCCGCCCCCATCACCATCCCTTCTTCATTTCCCCTATAACACCCCGATACAGGCGCAGCGGATGCCCTTCAACCCACTGTGTATGCCGCAGGAGTTACACCCTCCACCCCCAACCCCCACATTCCCTTCCCCCGCCCCTTCCTCCCCACCCCACCCCCCCTCCCGCCCCCCTCCCCCGGAGGCTCCTCACCCCCCTTCCCATTTTCTCAACCCCAACCCGTCCACTTTGTCCTCTCTCCTGGTTCCCTCTCGCCCATCTTCCTCCATGCCCTGTTGGCAGGTACTCATCAACTTTGTACTATCTCAGAATTCGTTTCCGCACGTTGAACGTAAATTCTGGTGGGTCCATCCCTACTATTGGCAGTGGCCCTTCCTGCACTTCTCCCACAACAGTTTCCTTCGCCTATCCTATGATTAACATCACGAGTAACAAGGTCGGACGCCGCAAGCACTACAGCTTCAAGTACTTAGATGAATTAGATCACTCGTGTACGGTTGCTGATCTTCGTACTGCGGTCGCCCTTCTGGTGTCTCGACTAGGCAAATATCCGAAGGTGTATCATTCCAAAAACCTTAACGCACTCTGTGGGAAGGTGCAGAAGGTGGTTTAATGGATGGCTCACTTTGGCTACTTTTGGTTGGCTCTGGTGCAAGTGTTCATGTCTGTAGTGCACAACCGAATGTGAATGGAGACTGGCACTATTTGTTGCTTAGGATGGCCACACCACCTTGATGAGTCAAGCAAAACAGGAGGTTGTACGCGGTTAGGCTGCTTTGTTGTTTGTGTCAACTTACACATTTATACTGTAATCGAGTAAAATGCATAAGCACTTGCGCTTTTATAATGGCAAATATAGAGCGGGGGAAGGAGTGGGGGGGGGGGGGGGGGGTGTTGGAATAGGGAATTATACTTAGCATTCCCGTAGGTGCAGCAGTATCGCACCTGACTCTGTCGAAGCAGCAACTACCGCAATATCGGATCAGCCCGTAACAAGGGCAGGAAGGTCAACAGTCGCAAGAGTCAACTGTCGCGACTGTTGACCATCTGGACCGACGCTTGACCTACCATCGAGGAATGGCAACAGGCGTAACCGTATAGGTTACATGCAGCGACTCGGTAACAAGAAAAGGCAGCACAACAGTTAGAGTCACTGTAGAAATGCCTGTAAAACAGTTATAATAAGGGAATGTACCCCTTAGAGTACATGGCTAGACTAGGACTATTTATATTCCTTGTATTCTATCTTTTAATCAACTTGGTCATTTACATTCACTATGATCTGAGTTCTTACAAGACTTCCGCTACCAACTCTACCAAAGCACTTCCTATCCTATCCAAAGATCCTTACTCTAACATGGTATCACGAGCAAGCGTTCAAACCCTTGGAACCTGTGGGAGCAGATTTACTCAGTCTGGCTCACCACCTTCTTCATCACCAGGAGCATCTCCTGGAGCAGGTTCGACCTGCCACTTCCCACGGAGCATTTCGTGGAGGAAATCTTCAACGTGCCGGCGCAACATTTCGAGCGACTCGGCGAAACGCCTCCCAAGGCGTTCTGGCAAATTCCCCGGCAAGGACTTCACAGTTTCAACAAGGCAGGACTTCATCCCTCGTTTCTACACTTCTAACAGTGGAGGGGAGTGTTGCGAATATGTTTTTACGGAATATTCTTATGCAGTGCACTGTTCGAAGTGCAGCAGCGAGTACCTCAGTATCGAGTATGTTGACTCAAGTTCCGAGCTGCAGGGGTGCGTCCGCGTACAGTGGTTGCGCCCCGCGTGGCAGCTGAAGGGTCAGAGTCGGGCAGGAGGCAGCGTCTACAGTAAGCGAAACCACCCTGGGGGGCGCGGCAGAATACCGCGCCCTTGCCGAAGCTGAAGGGTCTCGCCAGCTCGACAGTAACTGGGCAACTGAAACGTTACAGCGCAACTGTAATACAGTTGCGCCTTGGTAACTACCTGCCTACCTGTTTCCTATATATTCCAATGTATTGCCATGCTATTATTACACAATTCTCATCCTTGTGTCCGGCCTACCCTCGGCCGCCGCTCTGGCACCAAGTTACAAGCCACGAGAGCTACCTCTGAGTGACCATTGCCCCGCCGTAGGGACGTCGTTAATTCCTAGAGTATTTCCGCTACTCTAGCGACCTCTTTATTTCAACATGGTATGAGAGCTAGTTTGGATTATAGGATCTGCTAAAAGGGCTTCTGACAAAGCTTCTTTACAAATTAATCTCAACATCAACAAAGGGCATCAACATGCCAGGCGCAGACTGCGGAGAAACTGGAGAAAATCCAGTGCAACCCTCCACCAATGTCGCCTCTACTACGACGACTGTGGACACAGCTCTAATCGAGCAACTGATTTCCCGCATCAGCGCACTGGAGAGCCATCAGCCAATGAGCATTGACGGCTCAAGTTACGCCCGAAGACCTCCCGATCCTCAAGGAGCTGGATCTGAGCGATCCTTCATCTTCGACAACCGCGGAGTTCAAGGATCTGCTCAAGCACAACAATCACATTACGAGGCAATGGCTTCAATGCAGAGCAAGTTCCTCTCCACGTCGAAGCTCAGAACTACCAAGCCCTTCGACGGACAAGATTTCTACACGTGGAGCTTCAAATTTGAGCTACTGGCTCAAGGCGCTCAGATCTGGATGTATTACGATGGGTCGTACGCATTTCCGACCAATGGCTCACCTCAGGAGAAAAGTCAGTACTACAACGAATCACTCCTGGCCTTCACCGTCCTGATACGAAACCTGTCGCCTGAAGAACAGCTGAGCATTCGCCCCTTCAAGAACGAATGGGCGCCCACGCAACAGTCCTTGGAACACCTGCGCACCTGCCACATGGCAACAGACTCGGTGACACTTAGTCGCCTGCTCAACCAGCTGAACAACGTCAAGATGTTTCCCGGCGAGAAGGCCGGCCCATACATCAACCGCTGCAGGAACCTGAGAGATCAATTCAGGAAAAGCGGCGGAAACTTCCCTGACGATATGTTCGTCACCATCATCCTCGCTGGATTGAGCCCGGAATGGCGCCAATGCAAGTCACTCCTTCGCACGCAAGGAACCCTCAGCGAAACTGCCCTCTGCTCCACGCTTCTCTCCGAGCAGAAGGAAATCGACCTGTACAACGAACGAGGCAACAAGAAGGAGAAGATCGCCTTTTACGCTCAAGCGCCACCAGACAAGAAAAGACTCTTCTGCAAGTACTGCAAGAAGACTGGGCACATGATTCAAGACTGCTGGAAGCTGAACGGCAACAACAACAACCAGAAGGGTGCCGCTGCTTACCAGCAAGGAGGAACCGCAGCGCGCAACCAAACCATGTCGCCGCCAGCCGTCGCCAGCACGTCTCAAACCCCGGCGCGTCTCTCTGCGAACACAAGTGACAAAGGGAAAAGCAAGGTCTTGACTTGCATGGTGCGTCGTGGACCGCCTCGCCCCAACCGTCACTACCGCTTCTTCCGCAGCTGGGAAGACATGTTCGCAGACCCGCCTCAGGAGCGGCCCGAAGGATCAGTCGAAGAAGAAGAGGAGAATGATCCAACCTACGACGAGTTGACCGTCGGACGGATGCAGTTTGACTGGGAAGCGCCGGAGTGGATCCAGGAGTCGCCACCTGCACGCATCGTACACGACAACGAAGAATGTTACTACGACTACGAAAATGATCACGACATGGAACATCATGTCACTCCGAAGCTTGCTAATCTGGCCAAGGCAAGAAAAGAAGTCAACACGTGGTACCTGGACAGCTGCTGTGGTCAGCACATGGTGTCCTCAGATGTCTTCATCCTCAACAGAGAGCGACTCTTTAACGAAGTGGAGATCACCGTCGCCAACAGCCAGACCATCTACGCCAGAAGCCGCGGACAAGTGCAACTGGAGTCACACGACACCGGCTACTGCATCCACATAAGCGACGTCCTCATCGTACCGGAACTCCGGTACAACCTCTTGTCACTTCACCAGCTGATGAAGTGCGGGGTTGGCCTGCAAACAACAGAAGACGAGATGCACTTAGTATACAACGGCATCTTCATCGGAAAAGCAACGAGTGTGGAAGGCGTCTTCGTGCTCGACTTCGAGTCACCCAGAACCACCGGCGACAACGAACACATCCTTGTTCTTGACCCTCCGGGTCACCCGTCGCCGCCAAGATGGAGTCACCCAGAAGAGACCGATTATCAACAACCCGGCCTCGATGGAACCTTCCGCGCCCTTGCCGTACCCGTTGCCTCGACCACGAACCCTGCGGACACTGGACCACAGGCAGTGGAAGAAGGCGAAGAAATCATATCAGAAACAGCAACTACAACAACGGAAACGGCCAACACTGAAGCTGGAGGATGGGCACGAGCAATCTGGCCTCGCGTCGAGCAACCTACCGGTTGGAACACCACCAAAGGCTGGGACGCCGTGGACACACGCTGGATCATGGAGAACACTGCGTTCGGAGAAACTGTTGCAGCTGAAACTGGATGGGGCAATATCGCCGACGCACCTGCAGAAGAAGCAGCAGAGGAACCGGAAATCACTGAAGAAGCACCAGAAGCCGAAGAGGAGGAATCACTGACAGAATACGGACCTCACCTGCTTCCCATCATAACGGACGGCAGAGACTATCTTCGCCTCGAGACAAGGGGAGTGGCGATCGGCGATACCCCATTCGAGGAAGACGAAGTCACGCAACCCGAAGATCGCCACGCACGAACCTCGCGTCCAGAAAAGCCATTGGAGCTACCGGTGACGATGGACACTGTCACCACCGGCGATACCAGCGGAACGTATCATGGGGTGACAATTCAAGCAGCAGCAGTCCAAGTCACCGTGCCCGATGAACCTGCGGACGCAACAAGGCAAGAAACAGCGGAGGAGATATTAGCGCGCGAGAAGGAGCTGTACACGCGTACTAAGGGATATCGGGCCGACGGAGACATCTGGCATCAACGCATGGGACACCCATCAATCGAAGTGCTCAACAACTGCATCAACGCAAATGTTTTTGCGGCAGACGCACTGTTGCTGCCCGATGGCAAACTGCTGAAACCACGAACCGACCTGCCTACCTGCACCGTCTGCCCGGCAGCTGCGCTCCGCCACACGCCCTTCGCTGAGAAGATTCCTGGAGCTGAGCGATATCAACCGCTGGAGAAAGTTTATAGCGACTTCCTGGTGCTCACGGCGAAAGGAGCCGGCGGGGAACAATACACCCTTACCTTCATCGACGCTGGCACACGCTTTGTCTGGGCCGTGAACGTCCGAGATCGCTACCTCGCCTACGTTTGCTTCGAAATTTGGCTCGCCATGGCAGAGAATCAGAGCAACGGCTACAAACTGAAGGCGTTCCAGACAGACGGAGCTCTGGAATACCTGTCGGAGGACTTCAAAACCCTATGCAAGCAGAAGGGGATCAAGAGGATGATCTCCTTGCCTTACGCCCACGAACAGCAGGGATTGGCCGAGAGAACCAACAGGAGCCTCGCGACAAAAATGCGAGCCCTCATGAAGCAGTCAGCTGTGCCAACCAAGTACTGGCCCTTTGCAATGGCACATGCAGTTCGGCTGCACAACATGCTCTCCTCGAAGGCACTGCCCAACAACAGTTCACCCTTCAAGGAGTGGACCGGAAAACACCCTGACACACGCATGCTGCGAGTCTTCGGGTGCATGGTACAGTACCGCCCTCACACTGCCCGAACAGGAAAATTTGAAGATCGCGCTCGCTGGGGCATTCACCTCGGAATCGAATCCGAATACCACGCCTGGACAATCCTGGATTTCGCCACCCACCAGCTCACGCGTTCACGTGACTGCATCTTCTACGATAGACTGACTCTGCCACTGTACCGCCAGCACCGCACTGCACAAAACGCACCAGACAACGTTTTTCAGGGACAACACAGCTACGCCAATGACGAGGACGATGTTGACGTGGCAGGCAAACAACCGGACGAGGCAGCAGCTGACGTAGCAGACGAGGCACCCTTCATCCCCGTTACGGAGCAGTTCGGCACTCCTGTACACTTCCCAACCAACATCGATCCTCATAAAGCAGTACAGGCACAGCACGATTATGCAAGTGCAGAAATGCACTCACCCATGAATGAAGACCCAGCTCGCGACTCATCCCGTGACACCTTTCGCGACATCCCTGGCGACGACGACGACGTGGTCGAAGTTAACACAACAGCCGAATCCAACCTCATAGGCCTTCGCATTCTTGGCCTCGCTGTCGCCGTTCGGGGTAACCAGCAGCTGATCGAACCCACCACCGTTCGCCAGGCTCTCAATGGGCCCGATGCTGAGAAGTGGAGAGCCGCCATGGCCGCCGAAGTCGCTGCACTCCAACGCCGCGGCACCTGGAAGCTGGTACCACGCCGCCACGCAAAGGGGAGGAAAATCCTTACAGGGAAGTGGGTCTTCCGCATCAAGACTCTCGCGGACGGAACGGTCGAGAAATTCAAGGCGCGCTGGGTGGTCCGCGGATTCGAGCAGACACAATTTGTGGACTACGACCAGACATTCGCACCTGTCGGTCGACATACCTCAGTGCGCATTCTCATCTGCATCGCCGCCGTGAAACAACGCCCGCTTCGCAAGATCGACGTCTCCAACGCGTTCCTCTATGCGATAGTCGACGCTATCATCTACGTCGAGCAGCCACATGCGTTCGAAGAAGACAGCGACGCAGTTTGTCTCCTGCAAAAGTCCCTGTACGGCATCAAACAGGCACCACGCCTGTGGCAGCAGCATCTTCACGGCGTCCTCATCGAGCTCGGCTTCCAGCAGCTTCCCCACGATCAGGGGATGTACCGCCTCGAATCCCGCGGCCACTTCATCCTGCTCGTCGCCTACGTCGACGACCTACTCTACACCGGCGACGACAATGACCTACTCGATCGCTTCGAACGCGAAATTCAGGAGAAGCTGGAGGTCACGATCGACCATGAGGTCACTCAATTCCTCGGCCTCAACATCACTCAGACCGCGGACACAATTCATCTCTCCGCCGCAAAGTACGCCGAGACCCTCGCTAAGAAGTCCGGGATAGCTCCCGTCGGCGTCACCACCCCTTTCCGCATTCCCCCGCCTAACCACGAGCCCGACACTACTCCACTCTCACCGGCTGATCACCGTCTCTACCAGCAGCAGCTCGGATGCTTACTGTTCGCCGCCGTCACATGCCGCCCGGACTTATCCTACATCGCCAGCCAGCTCGCCCAGTACCTGCGCCGACCTGAAGGGGAGAACCTAGCAGACCTGCGCCGCGCCTTACAGTACTTCATCTCTACGCTCGATGTCGGTCTCACCTACAAGAGCAACTTAACAGCCCCACTACAACTCACCGGCTACGTGGACGCCGACCACGCAGGGGACGCAGACAACAGGAGGTCCCGCACAGGCTTCATTTTCAAGCTCGAGCCTGCAGGAACCATCTCCTGGAACTCCAACAAACAGGAACTCATCGCCCTCTCGTCAGCAGAAGCAGAATTCATCGCAGCAAGCGCAGCAGTTCGCGAAGGACTCTACCTCACGGAGCTCCTGCAGGAAACGAAGACGGCGATGAACGGGTCCTTTAAGTTACTCTGCGACAACCAGAGCGCGATCAAAATCGCAAACAAGCCAGGCTTCGTCAACCGCACGAAACACATCGCCCTGCGTTACTTCTTCGTGAAGGACGAAATCGACAAAGGGAAGGTCCAGCTCATCTACTGTCCAACTGGCGAAATGGCAGCCGATTTCCTCACGAAGAAACTGCCACGTCAGAAGTTCCAGTACTGCGCGGACCTGTGCGGAGTCACTCACAAAAGCCACGTGGCGCACCTCCAGGAATGAAGGGGAGTGTTGGAGTAGGGAATTATACTTAGCATTTCCGTAGGTGCAGCAGTATCGCACCTGACTCTGTCGAAGCAGCAACTACCGCAATATCGGATCAGCCCGTAACAAGGGCAGGAAGGTCAACAGTCGCAAGAGTCAACTGTCGCGACTGTTGACCATCTGGACCGACGCTTGACCTACCATCGAGGAATGGCAACAGGCGTAACCGTATAGGTTACATGCAGCGACTCGGTAACAAGAAAAGGCAGCACAACAGTTAGAGTCACTGTAGAAATGCCTGTAAAACAGTTATAATAAGGGAATGTACCCCTTAGAGTACATGGCTAGACTAGGACTATTTATATTCCTTGTATTCTATCTTTTAATCAACTTGGTCATTTACATTCACTATGATCTGAGTTCTTACAAGACTTCCGCTACCAACTCTACCAAAGCACTTCCTATCCTATCCAAAGATCCTTACTCTAACAGGGGGGAGGCCTTCGATCTGGGGGGGTTGCGGGGCCCTCTGACGGGGGCCGCTGTGCCTTCTATCTGGGGGTCTCGGTCGGGGCCTTCGGACGGGGGGCTGCGGAGCCGTCGATCAGGGGGCGGGGTGGGTCGTGCAGACGGGCTGCGGAATGATGGACTACCGGTAGTGAGGAAATGGGAGTACAAGTAGGAGTGTCGAGAGAAAACCTATTCCCTTGCTATGCAACTCACTACAGCCTAACAAATGTAACACATACAGTACCTTCTTCCTTCACTGGTCACTCTTTCTAAAGCGGCTGAAACATTTAACCAGGCCCCACTTTCTTTCTACACATCTGCCACAAACCTACCACTATCCTCTTCCTCCAGAAGCCAGTCTAACTTTGCATCTAGCGCATTCTGACTGAAACCCCCAGGAAGCCCATCCCCATCCTCCCCACCCTGCTGCTCTCTAGCCCCCACATTGCCTGCAGCATTGGGCAGGCCGCCATCCCTGCTCGCCCCTGCGATGCCAGGGAGAGCGGAGCGCGGGTGGGCGGAGAGGGAGCGCTTGAGAGCCTTGATGGAGCGGAGCAGGTCGGTGACAGTGGGGCGGGACAGGGGGTCGGAAGCGGTGCAGGAGAGGGCGAGGCGGACCATGGGCAGCACGATGGCGTCGGGTGCTTGGGGCAGGTGGGCGGAGCGCAGCTGGGCTGTCATGTTGCGTGATACGAGCTGCTGCGCCTGCAAGGGGATGGGTTTTTGTTTCCCAATGAGTTTGGTTGGGAGCGGGGGGGATGATAGGAGGGAGACAGATGCATGAGTGTTTGTTGTGGATCCATGGAGGCGAACACCGGTGTCGTGGTGTGGTGTGGTGTGGTGTGGTGTGGTGTGGTGTGGTGTGGTGTGGTGTGGTGTGGTGTGGTGTGGTGTGGTGTCGCGTGGCATGGTGTGGTGGGTGCGTGTTAGGTTCACGTGTAATGAGCAGAGAAGAAAGCCCGTGCAGAGTCCATGTGCAGTGTGCACGCATGGACGAGTCCACCTTCCTGCAGTGCAGCAGCTCTGCATTGCAAACACAACGAGCAGAACAACCCTGGGAGCCCCTCACCCCCACACCGCACTCACCCACTCCCGGATGTGCACAGAGCTGCTGCCGCTACAGTCGCTGCTCATACTGCTGCTACTGCCGCCACCGCTGGTGCCAGAGCTGTTGCTGTGCTGACTGGCGTTGCCTGCAGCTGTGGGTATCAGTGCGGGCCGTCCTGTGATGAGCTGCAGCATCACCACACCAACGCTGGCAGGTGGGGATGGGGGGACGGGGGAGAGTGGGGAAGAAAGTAACGGCGGGAGGAGAGAAGGGCGAGGCGTTCGGCTGGGTAATCAGTTGAGTTGATTGTTAGTAATGGAGGAAGCACATGCAATCAGAATAGCAGCATCTGGTTTCTCACACTGTGTGGGGTATAGGAGAGAAGGCGGGGAGAGGGGACAGGAAGCGGGAGACAGGAAGAGGCGGATCAGTAGAAAAGGATGGAAGTTGCAATGATTTGTCTGAGTGAATTCCACAATCATGGGTTTTGCAAGTTGCACTGATTTGGAATCGCGAGTAGAGCAGCACGGACCTGAAAACGTCCGTGGAGGGCGTGGTGAGAGCAGAGGCATGCAGGATTGGGTCCATGTACGCAGCATGGCTGGCAGGTGGCCGTGCGACCCTCCCTGCTGATGCCACCCACGCTTCTGCTGCTGCTGCTGCTGATGCTGCTGCTGCTGCTGCTGTTAGTGGTGCTGTGGGGATGGATGGGAGGGGGTCGCCCATTTTCACGGCCATGCAACCAGCCAAGACAGGCTGAGGGGAAGGCATGGGCATGGGGTAGTGGGGAGGCGAGGGGAAAGAAACGACGTGAGTGTAGGGGCCAAGGGGTTAAGGGGGAGAGACGCAGCTGATGGGTTGATGGGATGAGGAGGGTGGAGTTGGAAGTTTAGAGTATAAGAAGTGTGCATGGCAGAACTGCTCAGTGTCACTGCACCTATGTGCGTCACTGCACCTATGTGCGTCACTGCACCTATGTGTGTCACTGCACCTATGTGCGTCACTGCACCTATGTGTGTCACTGCACCTATGTGTGTCACTGCACCTATGTGTGTCACTGCACCTATGTGTGTCACTGCTATTTATATAAATATGGATGGAACTTGGCAGTTCACCTGCAGCGCGGTGTCAAGCAGGATGTTGCGTGGGTGTATGCGGCCATGCACGACCCCATGGCTCTGGATGTGCTTCAGCCCGCGCAGCACACCCGCGGTCACATCCAGGCACTGCCACACCGACAGAGGCACGCAGCCCTCTGCATGGCGGGAGGGGGGGAGCATATGGAAGGGAGGGAGCAGAGGGGAGCAGAGGGGAGCAGAGGGGAGCAGAGGGGAGCAGAGGGGAGCAGAGGGGAGCAGAGGGGAGCAGAGGGGAGCAGAGGGGAGCAGAGGGGAGCAGAGGGGAGCAGAGGGGAGCAGAGGGGAGCAGAGGGGAGCAGAGGGGAGCAGAGGGGAGCAGAGGGGAGCAGAGGGGAGCAGAGGGGAGCAGAGGGGAGCAGAGGGGAGCAGAGGGGAGCAGAGGGGAGCAGAGGGGAGCAGAGGGGAGCAGAGGGGAGCAGAGGGGAGCAGAGGAGGAGGGGGAGGGCAGCGGGGAGTAGAGGGAGTGGGGGTGAGAGAGGGTTGGAGAGGGGACAGTGACGACACAGAGAACAGAGGGAAACAGACAAAGAGGAACAAAGCGAGATGGCCATAGAACATGAGTGTATACGCTAACTAGCCAGAAGTGGTGTTGTGGGTATTCCTTGCAAGTGCTTTGAAAGGATTTTCTCAACAGTTTTGTGGTAGGGATGATATGAACACAATTGTGGAAAGCATGGAGCAAAGAAGGGTCGTGGGGTGGGGAATGAGTGGCACAGTGGATCACACAAGCGTACACAGAGGCTAGAGCGCAATAAGCAAGCAACGCAGTAGAGGCATGGAGCGAGGGGTGGGGATGGAGATGGGTGCAAATGTACCTGCAAGGAGGCGACTGTGCAGGTTGCCTCCTGGCACCCACTCAAACACTAGCACCTGCTCCTCTGCTCGCTCCACCAGATGACCGGCAGCAGCAGCAGCGTCAGCACTAGCTCGCATAGCACTAACAGCACTAGCATCAACAACGCTTTTGACACCAGCAGCAGCAGCAGGTGAGTCAGGGTCAAGGGCAGGGTCACGATTTTCCCAGCAATACCCCAGCAGTCGCTGCAGGTTGGTATGGCGGATGGACCACAGCGTGGCCACCTGGGTAGGAGAGGACGCACCCACAAGGAGGGGGGGAATCGAGGGGCAAGATTTAAGAAGCACAAAACGGCCTCCGCCACTGCCACCACCGCCACAGCAGCAGCAGCAGCAGCAGCAGCAGCAGCAGCAGCAGCAGCAGCAGAGAGTGCACTATCCACAACCGTCTCTCTCACCTCTTTCTGGAAGTCTGTGGAAAGCTCCTCGTTGCCACGCCTCATGACGAACCACACCTGGCGCGCATCGAGAGGACTCACTGCCTTGTACCTCTGCCCTCCACTGCTGCCAATGCTGCTGCCAACGATGCTGCTTCGAATGCTGCTGCTGCTGCTTCTGGTGGTGGTGGTGCCGCTGCTGCTGCTCCTGCTGCTGCTGCTGCTGCTGCTGCTGCTCCTGCTGCTGCTGCTGCTCCACCCGTGCTTCCCCACCCTGTTAATCTCACTCCACCCACCCGTTGCTTGTGCCACGAGAGATATGGGGAACTTTGGACAGCGGGCACGACCGAAGACACGGGATGCTGCAGTGGGGGAAGAAGAGGGGGAGAGAGGAGAGAGGCGGGTGAGAGGAGTAGGGAAAGCAAGTAGAGAAGTTGATGGTGGGATGATGGTGAGAAGTGGGAGAGGCTGGCAACAGTGAAAACGATGATGGTGGCTGGCTGGCTGTACCAGTGGCAGCAAGGGCAGCAGTGTGTGGGGCGAATGATAATTGAAGTGATAGGCATCGAACGAGGAACTGTGTTGACACCGTAAACAGCAGAGGAGGCTGTGGTGGTCGCAGCAGCAGCAGCAGCAGTGGGAGGAGAAGCAGCAGTAGTGGAAGCAGCAGCAGTAGCAGCAGCAGCAGTGGAAGGGGTGGCAGCAGCAGTGTGTCATTTTTAGGAAAGCAGATGATGGGAGATGATGGTAGATGATGAGAAAAGCAGACAAGAGTCACGGACTGTACAAGGAAAGCAGAACGAATGGCCACCCCACCAGACGACGACCTTACGTGGCAGAGCCACCACACATGGCCCATGCACATGTCTCTTTGAGCCATGGCACACTACTGAACTTGCTCTCACCTGAGGCAGCTAGTGGCTGTATTTTCGACCCCTGGTCTCCCCGTCTCACACACCCAGCACCCACGACAGCAGCAACAACAGCAGCCACAAGAAGACAGAACGTTCCCACGGATATTCCCACGATCGCACGAGGTAGGCAAACCCGTGGAGGGTGGAGGAGCAGGAGGAGAGGCGAGCGGAGAGGAGACGGCAATAAGAGAGGAGAGAGGAGGAGGCGGGGGGCTCATGAGAGCGAGGCTGGGAGAGAGAGGAGGAGCGAGGGGAGGAGGGGGAGGAGGGTGGCGGAGTTTGCCTGTGGGAAGGGAAGAGGGGTGTAGATAGAGGGAGGGATTGTGGAGGCGGAGAGCAGCTGTTGTGCTGGTGAGCTGTGATGGCAATACGACCATAAGTTGACACGGTGCTTGTGAGATGGCATGATGACCGTCAGTGTCAAATGGCAAGATGGGCAGTAAGGTATCACTCGCAGCAAGGCACA